TTAATTGCTTTGACATTTCGATGACAATCAAAAACAGCTTAAGAGACAAGGTAATTAAAATTGTAGTCGTAAGAGACTTTTTTTACATTAAAATGCTCTTAAAGCTACACTATATGGGTATATATATATATATATATATATATATATATATATATATATATATATATATATATATATATATATATATCTATATATATATATATGTATATATATATAATTTTACACACAAATTTATATATTTAATTTTTGACTTACATTTGATAAATAATCAGGAGAGTCAGCAGTGATTTTGGTCCATTCTTTATTTAAAAACTCAGCATTTATAGATGGTAAGTTTTTTGATTTTCCAATCTCTTCAATAATTTTCTGAAAAAAGGTTACATACATCAGCTTTTAGAATTAGGATCAGCATTCTGCAATGCCGGCCTAACTGCCAACTTTAAAGTATTTCAAGTTATAACCACAATTAAGTAGGAGGCTACTTAATTGTGGTTATAACTTAGGCCCAAACAAACACCTTGACAAAAAAGGCTACAAAGTAGGAGGCTACTTAATTGTGGTTATAACTTAGGCCCAAACAAACACCTTGACAAAAAAGGCTGCTGCGCGGAGAAACAAGTTGAGCCAGTTACCAGGGACATGGTGGGGATTGAACTCGGAGCCTCTTGCTTATAAAGCAAGTGCTCTAACACAACACCACTACTGCAAAAGAATATATTTTGGTAATGACACTTTGATATAACATAAACAAATTTTAATGTAAGAACTAAATTTTTTTCTTTTGTTGAAAAACCAAGAGTAACACTTTTTATTCAAAAAATTTAAAGAACATTTTATAATTTATTTAGTATTTAAAACTATTTTATTGAATTATTCAAATAAATTTGAAAAAAAAACTATTTGTTACATTTTTTGATTGACTTTCCGAAACAAAAATTGAGAAATCTATATCTAAAAAAGAAAAAATGATTTAAAATTAACATTTATATAAAAATTTCTTTTTATATAAATGTTCTTGTCAACATTTCAATTTTTTGACACTTTATATTTTTGAAAGTATTAGTGTAAAAGTAACAAAAAATAATTTTTTTCTAAAGATTTATTGCTACAAGCATTAATTTAAAAAACAAAATGATAGAATATTTACATGTAATAACGTGATCTTACCGATCTCACTAGTTGATTTTAGAGAGCTACAGAACAGTTTATTATTTCTAAAAAATAAACTCAATAATAATTTCTTTATTAATTAGACTAAAAAATAAAAACGAAAAGAAAATCACAACATCAGTTTTTAACAGTTTGCATTACTTTTCAGAAATGTAGGCATTCAGAGCTACTTCAGCCTATTAATAAAGGGGAAAAAATTAATAAAAATAGTTTACAATTAATAAAAATAATAAAATATTTAGTTCAAAAAACAATTATTTACTAAAAAAAGAAATTGAAACGCATAGCCTATTTAGATACCTTTATTCTCGAAACATTACTAAATTTGGCAAATAAAAATACTATTGATTCTGGGACTAGCACCTTAAATACATAGTCGCTATCCTAAAAAAGATAATCACTGGGAAAAAACAAAAATTAATGTTAGAAAGTGAATTATTTAAACGAATACAGGATTTTATAATGACTATTTTCAAAAAAATAAATAATAATAAAAGTAAATAAGAATATAACATATTATGACTCTCACTTTTAAACTATTAAATGCTAAAACAAGAGCTTTAAAAAGCTCATTTGATTGATCCTCTGATAATAGGCTAAGAAGATCTGCATTACGAAGACATCCTATAAAGAAACGGAAATGCATAAGAAGCGCAATATTCAGGAAAAAATAAAAAAAAAAGTTAAAAATTATATATTTGTAAGTAAAACAAACTTTTATCTTCTCCACCCGCTTTAAACCAGTTATGTCTGTAACTGTATAACTGAAAATAAAATGTAAAAATATTACTAAAGCAAACATCATTTAATAAAGTTTAAACAGTATATTGTTATAGATTTTGAATAAATCAACTAAAAGTTGCTTGGCTGAAAGTCGAAATTAATCAACTTATTGAACAGACAATTTAACTGACTATGGATTTCCAACTAATTGACTATTACTATGGATTTCCAACTAATTGAACTTATTAGCTAGTTATCCTTACATCTATAATTTTATAATTTCATTAGTTAGGTAACCATGCTAACATCCTTATTTCCATCTTTTCATTTGAGTTAACTTTATCAGTATTTCATTTTTGTCTTTGTAATTTTAATTAATTCAATAACTATACCATGTTAATACAATATTTATTATAATTTATATATGTACAACCAAGTTTATCTAAAAGTTCTTATCTTAAAGAAAAAAAATTAATATTGCACAAGATTTTGATCTGTTTTATTAGAATTACATAAAATATTGCTCATTGATTTGTTTCCATATGATTTATTATAATTTTCTGTATGATGATATATTATAATATATTAAAAATTCCAGTTCTCAGATAATAAAAGTTTTCATTTGCTCAACTAGCCAAGAATATATACATCATAATAGCAGATTTAATCAAGAAAAATTTTGTTAGCAAAGAGTTAGCAAAGGCAGGAATTAAAAAAGCAGAACATTATATATATATGTATATATATATATATATATATATATATATATATATATATATATATATATATATATATATATATCAGCCCTCAGAATTCGGGTTGGCATTTGGCAATAACGACCTCACTGCCAACCAAAAAGTGTTTGAGTTTGGCAAATTATTGCTGACCTCATTTTTCCTACTTCCGAGGGTTGTATATACATATACATATATATATATATATATATATATATATATATATATATATATATATATATATATATATATGTATATATATATATATATGTATATATATATATACATACATATATATATATATACATATATATGTACATACATATATATATATACATACATACATATACATATATATATATCTATATATATATATATATATATATATATATATATATATATATATATATATATATATATATATATATATATATATATATATATATATATATATATATATATATATATATATCACAAATATATATATATATATATATATCTATATATATATATATATATATATATATATATTACTTGATCGTAAGCCGGTACAGGTATATATATATATATATATCTATATATATATATATATATATATATATATATATATATATATATATATATATATATATCTATATATATATATATATATCTATATATATATATATATATATATATATATATATATATATATATATATATATATATATATATATATATATATATATATATATATATATATATATCTATATCTATATATATATATATATATATATATATATATATATATATATTATATATATATATATATATATATATATATATATATATATATATATATATATATATATATATATATATATATATATATATATATATATATATATATAATAGAAGGATTAAAATTTGGAAGTAATAAAATTTGGTAATTCCAAAGATGGAGTACGCGATGTGCATTACAAAATTGACTGAATTTGACTTTGTTCTACAAAAAGTTCATTTGAAAAAATATTGTTTCTTGATGTGTATTTATTTAATGGTTTTAAAGAAAAATAATTGTTAGAAACAAATAAAGATAAATTATTTTTCTATATAAAAATAAAATAAATAACATTTAATATATTAAGTTTATAAATATCTAGTATCTTCATATAATCAAAAAAACATTTTAAATGTAAAATGCGATCCGCATAATTAACTACGTGGACTGTATGTTTCTGATGCCGATAAAGATGTCGTAATTTACTTTTCTCCGTACTTCCCCAATGATAGCATAATGATGATAGCATAATTTATATAATTGTGTATAAATGAATAATAGAGTTAGGTTTAGGTTTTTTTTTTTGTTTAGATGATTTTGGGCAAAGGAAAATCCAGCATTTTTTGGTCTTTGAGATAGCTAACTTCCAGACAGAGAGCAAACTCCATACATTTATATGTTAATACTTATGTCAAATAAGGATGCTTTGCACAAAATTGTGATGATTGGAGCTAGGGAACAAAAAAGCCCCTAAAATTTTTGCCCTCTGACCCAAACGTGAGAGCAACAAGTTGATGAAATATTTTTTGTACTATTTTTAACTTACATTCATTAATATATTTTAGGTTTCATAGTGTTTTCTCTCAGCGTTCAAGAATTATGACTATATAAAAGTTGCAGCCCCCTCAAATTGAGGAAGGTTTAGACTCTATATGGTCATAAATTTTGAACGCTAAAATATTTTGTTATGAAATTTAAAATTTATCGATGAATATAGCTCCAATCATCTCAATTTTATGCAAAGCATCCTTATTTGACATAAGTATAAACATATAAATATTTGGAGCTTGGTACATGTCTGGAAAATAGCTATCTCAAAGACCAAAAAATGCTGGATCCGCCCCTAATTTCGGGCCATTAGTTTTGGAAATTTTGGTGCATGATCAATATGTTTTCTTTAAGTGATATTAGGTGACAGGAATAGTGTAACAAAATTTTGATTATCGCAAAGTTTTATTGTTGCAAATTTAATTGTCGAAAATGTAAAAAAGGAATAGTGTTGCAAATTGTCGCATTATTGATTGTCGAATAACAGAATAAAGAATAATGTCGCAAATGAACTTAATGAATAATGTCGAAAATAAAAAAAGGAAAAATTTCGCATAAGAGTTTAATGAATAGTATCGAAAACAAAAAAAGAGGAATAGTGTCGTAAAGGAGTTTAATGAATAGTGTCGATAACAAAAAAAAAAAAAAAAGTAATAGTGTCGCAAAAAAAAAAAGAATAGTGTCGAAAACAAAAATAAGGATTAGTGATGCAAAAAAAATTTAATTAATAGTGCTGAAAATAGAACAAAAATAAAAAAAAATAATAACTATAAATGTCTGTTTAGATAACATGTTTGATACAGAAATAGCCTGCTGTTCAGGACTTTAGTACATACACCAACTATCTTAGAGCCTGATGCCGCAAAGGAGTGCCGCTACAAGACTGAAGGTTTGTGGTTTGGTGGCAATTTTTTCTTTTATTATTCTTTTTTTTTTTTTAATTTACGTAAAAACCGTATGCTATAAAGATAAGCATAACGAGTTTAGCATCGTAATATTCTCATCATCTGTTGTAAAATTCTTAGATAAGCATCTAAGAATTTTACAACATTTTTTTCTTTTTATTATAGTTTCATCAATATAGATTTGAGGTACATCAGTTAGTAAAAAAACGTTTTTTTGCGCAGGAGCGAAAAATAATACATTTTGTTTTGTTAATATTTAAAGTTAATTTATTACCATTAAACCAGTTAGAAATGAGACTGAGTTCATTGTTTGTAGTTGAAAAGAACTCATAAATATCAGTATAGGATAAGAAAAGATTACTATCATCAGCGAAAATTATAGTTTTCAATTTGGAAGCTTTGTTTTAAATCGTTTACATAGGTTAAAAATAGTAATGATCCGAAAATAGAACCTTGTGGAACACCACAGGTTATGCTTAATGGTTCACTTTGCTAATCATTGTTACTATACACAAACTGTTTTCGATTTGTTGAATAGCTTGCAAACCATTTTAAGATTTTATTTTTTATACTGCAATATTTAATTTTTTGGATTAAAATGTTATGATCGACCGTATTAAAAGCTTTTGATAGGTCAATAAAAACACCGAATGTGTATTGAGATTTTTCAAAAGAATCATAGATGTTATGTAAAAATTGAATAATGCCTTGTTCAGTTGAAGTCTTTTTTCTGAAATCATACTGATTGTTTTAAAGTAAGTTGTTGTAATTAAAAAAATTGTATACCCTTTTAAAGATAATTCTTTCTAAAATCTTAGAAAGTATAGAAAGAACAGAGATAATTACTGATATTAGATCTGTCGCCTACTTTATGGATAGGGGTAACCCTGGCGATGTTTTAAACGTTCAGGAAAAATACCTTGATAAATAGATGCGCTGAAAATTTTAAAAAATATATCTTTTTTGTTCGTAGTAATCTATTTGTTCGATGTTCGTAGATATTCGTAGCAATCTATAACAATATTTTCGTTTATTTCATCTGCACCAGGTCATTTATTATTTTTTTAAAGATTTGAAAGCTATCTCAAGCTGAAAATGATTGTTCGGCCGATATTTTTTCAGAGAAAATATCTTTATTAATAGGCATCAAAAAATGATTAAATTAGATTTGTGTTTTTGGTATTTTACTTGACAAAGTTGATCCAATTTCAGTGAAATATTTATTGAATTCGTGAGCTATTACTTGTGGCTCATACGATATCGAATTTAAGCATCTGTAGCAATGAGCTTGTGCATATTTTTTGTTCTCCAGTAATTTCCTTCAATATTTGAAAAGTGCGCTTATAATCATTTTTAGCTTTATTAATTAACTTTTATTAATAGGTTTTTTTTTTATTTTTTAATTTATTTTTAATTTATTTGGATTTTTTCAAACAGAAATTTGTAATCTTTGTAATTTTTTTCGCTAGCTGTTGTTTTTGTTTTCAAATAAGGCTATACATAAATATTTGAAATAATATTTCAAATATTTATGTATAGCCTTTGTTTAGTTTTGGATGATTTTTTGAATCCCTTTGTAACCCAAGGAATATTAGTGTTTTGTTTTTAACGTAATTTTAAAAAATTGGAAATTTAGACTTGTGAAAAGGGATGAATAAAGGTTTTTGCGTTTTCACAAAAATTAAGTATTTCCATTGTAACAATGAGAGCTGATTTTTGAAAAACTCGATATTTGATGGTTTAAAAAAACGTTTTTTTATAATTTTATTTAATTTTTGTTTAATTTTAGTTTTGGTCTGAAATATCTGTTTTTAAGATCCCCAATTATGTATCACTATTAAACAAGTCTGTGGAAATGATACTATTCAGCAAAGTTGCTGAATTTTTTTGTTTTCTTGTCGGGCGATTCATTAGAGGAATTGCTCCAGATTTAAAAATTGTATCATAAAAATTTCTAACTTAATTTTGTCTACAATGTTTTGTCTACAATGACAATAACTTAACTGTTATTGTCATTGTAAACAAAACAATTCATATTAAAATCACCAACAAGAAGTTTTTTTTCTTTTCGTTGTTACTTTCGCAATAACATTTTGCTGTAAAAATACACTCAAGTTCTCGCTCACGCCATCTGGCAACAACAGCTAATAGGGTACCGTTTGGCTTTTGTCACGCATAGGTTGAATAAATTAAAACTAAGGATTCTGGGATCAATATGCGGTCAAACAATTCAAAAATGTTAGATGAAACTTTTTTCAAGTGAGCAAATCCAGGTTTCGCGTTTTTTATAAAATCCTGACTCGAATATAATAAGTACGTGAGTATAGAATTCGTTCTTTATAGTGTATAAACTATAACAATTTTGCGATAAAATATTTAAAAGAATTATTTAATAAAGTAAACCTATTAATTTATCTATCTATCGCAAATTATTATGAGGAAATGAGTATAAAGGGTTTAAATAAATTTCAATAATTCGGGTCTTGATTTTACACTAAACGCAAAACCTGGATTTGCTCACTGGAAAAAAGTATCGGCCAAAAAAGTATAACGACAACAATACAAGTTATTCAGTTTTCAATACAAACTCTCAACAAACTTTTGAATTCTTGTTTAGTGTTTGTAAATTTTAAAGCCTGATAACCCCAAATTTTAATTTTTGTCAGTAGATAGTTTTCTTTGGCAATAAATGAAATTTAATAAACAAATGAATTTAATGAATCTTAATACACTCAGGGTGGGTGTACTTTCCAAAGGTTAACTTTATACGCCTCCTTCGTATTTATACGCCTCCTTCGTATTTATACGCCCCCTTCGTATTAAGCACTTGAGAGTAAACGCTTAAACAAAAAAAAATTTGACAAGGTCAGAAAAATAATAACCAGCTCTCTAAATATTGACTGTTAAAATGATATTTTTGAATAAAAATGTTAAAAACATATTTAGTTAGTAAATATATAAATTTCTTTTTAAAAAGATGTGACCTAAATATGTTTATGAATAAGTTTTAATCCATAATTATTAAGAAAACTTAAATTTTAACTTTGAAAAAATTTGTTCCAAATGGTTTTTATTCTTTTTAAGTTTACTTTTTTTTTTGTATTAGTAATTGTATAAGAATTACACAAAGAAATCTCTATATACACATAGAAAAAAAGTGAACAAATTGCAATTAGCAAAAATAAGCAAAACAAAACAAATAAACAGTTAAATTTGTAAAAACAAAATTTAAATTTTAGAAAGATATTTACGCACACAAGCATTGTTAAAAGTTTACCAATTACAAAGTAACATAAACTAATTAAGATGCTAGTACTAATAAATAATGCTCAAATAATCCGAACTTTTGATTAAATTGTTTATTTAATTAGAATCTGAATAAATTTGTTCATTGAATCGTTCAAATTAAACTCATGGTTTTTACAAATGTTTTTGATTGCATGACCTCTACTTTTGTAAACTTTTTACACACTTAAAAATAGTGCAATATAAACAGTTGCTTGTTTCTGTTAAAGCAAATCTTTAGTTATAAATTCTTTTGTAGACAAGAAAACAATCTTGAAAATTAATAAACTCCATAATTCCACACTTCTGAAATAAAGCCACACCACTAATACCACACTGATTAAAAATTTGATACATGTTTTTTGTTTAATTAAAGATAACTGTTAATTAACTTTGTTTTAACCATCACACTCTTTGAGCTGAAATATAAAAGTTGATAATTTGCTTGTTCAAAAAAGTCAAAAAAGTAGAAATATGAGGTTCATTAAATCAATAAAATCATATTTTTCATATTTATATAATACAGAACTAAATGATGCAAAAAATCAACAATAAAGTCATGGCTATTTTCAGTATTAAAATCAACAATGCTGCATTCTGTGTTTGTATCTGAACTAAGAAAGAGATTACAAATTTCTTAGTTATAATGATTATACATTTTACGTTAATATTATTTTCACTCTTTTTGACAAGAAAAAATACAACTTTTTTGTTTAAATATATAATTTGGAAAGACTTATTTTTTTTTTATCCTTTTTCCAAGTTTGTCATGAAATCTTTTAGTATTTCTTATTTTTTAAAATTACATCAGCAAACGTTCAAAGTAGCAAAAATCTGACGAGAATAAATCCTAATAACATTAGAATAACTGATGAGAACATTTATTGCACTTTTTTTACACATTTTCTTCACAATTGGTATCAAGTTTGCTTGCATTTCGCATTGTTTGTCCACATTTCGATCCCAGAAAGCTTTGTGGAAAATTTATTTAATCTATTTTTAGAACCCTATTTGAATGATTTTTGTTCGATCATTAATAATCTCAATTGTTACTATTTCTCCATCGCCGCCAGAAACGCAAAGATCATTTCTACAACGTCTTTCATTTCCATGAACGTAAACTAAAACTCCACCACCGCGCTTATTTATTTGCCTTTCAAGAGAAATCAAAATGAGAAATATAAAAATTAGAATTTTTATTAATGTTGTTTAAGGTGTTCCAAGTTTCAGTTTAGCAATTAATATTAAAAAAGTATTTAGTTTCCTTAAGTAAATTTTGGAACTTTTCAATGTTACAATTAATGCTTCTGATGTTTACATGTAGATTTCAAATTTAATCGTTGCTTTTCTTGTTAACATTTTAAAATAAAATTCCTTTTAATTCATTTGTATAATAAAAAAACATTTGATTTTCGTATCATGAAAATAATTAATGGTCTTGGTCAGAGTTTTAGCGTAATGAAAAATATTTCCTTTTAAAAAGATCAAAGGCAAGAGTTTCAAAGTCAATTATTAAAGCCATGATAAGTTATAACAAATAAATTGAAAAAGAGTTCTTTTTAAGAACGCATTTTCTGAAATTCTCTAGAAAAATTTTTATTATACTTTATAACTGGATATTAGGACAGGGGCGTGTCTAGGGGATGTCTGCTACTTCGCACAGTGACTCAGGACAATCAAAAAGCGGCAAAAAATTAAA